AGCCCGACAGCAGGTTGTGTTTTTGCTGCTGATTTTGTGTCGTTTCTTTGTGAACTTGGACCCTTGTTGGTCAAGAGCGACGAGAGGCTTGCTGGAGATGCTGATGTGAGCGTATGTTGGTGGTTGTAGGGTTGTTTGGCCGGCGTTTATCGCAAGTGGCATAATCATTGAATTACGCATTATGGATGAACCGGAGTGGATGCGTACGTGAGATATGGGCACCGTATGCGTGTTGTGTGTGAGATGTGAGGATCAGTATGATCGTGGCGCCTTGAGTGCGTTTTGTTGGTGTGTTGTGGTGAGTGGATCCGTGAGGATCGATACGCTTATTATGCGTTGCTTTTGTGTGTCGTTATGTGATGTATTTGGGTCAGTAGGACCGACATGCTCGGTGTGCATTATGTGTGATAAGTTGTGTGGTGAGCGGATCCGTGGGATCGACGCACTTTGTGTGCCTGTTATGTATGCATTTTGTGATGGGAATGGATCTGTGGGATCGGTACGCCTTGTGCGTCATGTATATGTATATATTGTGTGAGGGGTGGATCAATAGGATCGGTTTGCACTTGGTGTGCTAGATGTATGTTGTGTGTGAATATGGTTGTGTGTGCTCCCGTAGAGGAGGGTGATGACCCAGTGACCATCGGTATTGTTGGTGTGCTCCCGGTGGGGAGGGTGATGGTCATGTGTCCATCGATGTTAATGTGTTGTGCTCCCGGTGAGGAGGGTGATGGCCATGTGTCCATCGATGTTGATGAGGTGCTCCTGTAGTGGAGGGTGATGGCCATGTGTCCATCGATATTATTGTGTTGTGCTCCCGGTGGGTAGGGTGATGGCCATGTGTCAATCGATAATATTGTGTTGTGCTCCCGGTGGGGAGGGTGATGGCCATGTGTCCATCGATGATATTGTGTTGTGCTCCCGGTGGGGAGGGTGATGGCCATGTGTCCATCGATGTTATTGTGTTGTGCTCCCGGTGGGGAGGGTGATGGCCAGGTGTCCATCGGTATTGTTGATATGTGCTCCTGTGTGGAGGGTTGATGGCCAGTTGCCCATCAGTGTGGAGGGTTGATGGCCAAGTGCCCATCGTTGATATGTGCTCCTGTGTGGAAGGTTGATGGCCAGTTGCCCATTGTGATTGTGATTCGGTACCGTGTGTTAAGAGTTGAGTGAGTGTAATTGTTGCGTGATTGTATATTGTGGTTGATGGTGGGACCGTGAGTCCGGATGATATGTATATGGAATAGTATTATTATTGATTTCTGCCTTTTATTTCATGTACTATTATACCATTATTATTTAATCGTGATTCTCACCCCTTTGTTGCTGTTGTGGTCTGTGTTTCTTCGGAAGTACAGACAATTCAGGTGTTTAGCTTGTTGGATTGTGGTGTCTCTGTAGGACTTCTCTGATACGTAACACCGGGGCGTTTTGGGGAGTTTTACTGTTGATGTTGATATGTGTGCCCCTGTGGCGTATCTGACTTTTGTATATGTGTGGCGATGTGTGATGATGATATGTATTTTGGGCAGATAGCCAATGTTGTACATATGATGATATGGATGACGTGTGTATATGATATTTTGGGTTATGACAGACCATATCTTTTCCGCTGCAAATTTTATTTGGAAAATTCAGTTAAATTAACTTGAAAAAAATGTTTTGTGAAATTGTAGTGTGAATTGTGATATCCCGTTGTGGGAGATACTCTGATGTGTGCTTATTTAATTGTTTTATTTTATTTTGGGAAACGGGGTGTTACACGTTCGACATCTGGCCTGCAACAATGAACAAAGAAAATTAAGTCAGTAACAAGGGGGAAAAGGCAGACGCCCCCGTCAAAGAAAAAATTTGTTACCTAAAAACCTCAAGGCCTACTCGCGAGATTCGCACTCGAAGGGAGCCTTGGTGTTAATCAGTCGAGCCTCGTGACATACCTCTCCACGCTCGTCGAGGGTGAAACTCCTGTCCTTGTGGACGCACTTGGCGTGAGTGAAGCCGGAGACAAAATCGACCATCTTTTGGTAAGACAATTGGTCGTCAGCATCCAAGTCGACATGCTTCACGATATAGCTATTCGTGCCCTGGTTGAAGTGGTCCTCGACCCAATCGAGCGGAAATTTTGACACCAAGGTCTCCTCACACTCCTCGTTCTCCTCTATGACAATAAAGTCATAAAGAGAGTCGACGGTTACGTGTGACATGGGCTTCACAATGTAAAACCTGTCCTTGGAGGTGCAGACAAAATCTTGGTACGCCCGGAACAGCTTCCTCGGTTACTTGAAGGATACCTAACTTTGCCTACCTTCGAAGGATTGAAGCTGAAGGTGGAAGGTGTGGAAGAACAGGGGAACTATGGCCTCAATACCGAGATACTTGCAGACGAGCTCAAACGCTCGCACGAATGTTACGGCATTAGGGTGTAGTTGCGAAGGTGCCAGGCGGAGCCACCGAAACACTCCTCCCTGAAAATTACAGAAGGGGAGGTGGATCCTCGCTTCCCGAAACGCAAATTCATACATTGAGAGTCTCATCTCCTTGAAACTCGAGCAGATGCGGTGTTTTTCCTTGGGTTTACAGACCATCCAGCTCGCGGAGGAATTCTCGAGATGGTTCTCGACAGTGGCAAAAGTGTCCATGTCATCAAAGGCAAAACGTGATGCTATAGTGAGAGGTTCCTGCCCGGCTCAGTCCTCGAGCGTACGAACTAGTTCAGCTCATTCGACCTCGACGGGAGTGTCAGGCTCGGACTCGTCGTCAATATGGATGACGCCCTCAATCCTTACAACCATTTTACCTGAAAAGTAGAGGAAATGGTGAATTCGACTTCAAATATCAAATCTACTCTTCCACCGCAAATCAAGTTAAAGAGCGAAGGGAGGGATAGGAAAGCCCGGAACAACAGACCCCCTCCTTGACGGAGGCTCATCCAAGAAGACCCCGACATAGGCGGGAAAACCCTGAGTGATACCTCCCCACAATAGCCACACGCTTGCAAGGAGCAAGGCTCTCTGAGGTGTTCATCCCAGCTCCCCGAGACCTTCATTGGAGGTCCCCGGGGCCTTCATCGGGAACTTTATAAAGCTCCTGGAATCCTCATGAACTTCTTGGCGTCCTGGCTGGTAACTTCATAGTTTGGCCGGAAACTTCATGAGGCAGGCCAGAAAATCCATAGCTTTCTTAGAAACTTCATGGGAGTTGCCGAAAAACTCATAAAGCTAGAGACAGGAAACGAAAAACTTGTAGAAAGAGGATCTGGACGAGGGAGAATGGTGACAGTGCGGAGACGGCGGCAGCGACATCAAGAAGAACTTGGAGAGGATTCTGGTAGATATGAAGGGGAAATGTGCAAATGAGATGAGCTTTCTTCCTATTTATAATTCTAGTACCAGAAGCGAGGCAGCACTAGGCACTCAAGTGCCCTTACGCGTAGCCTCCCTAGGCATTAATTACACGTGACACGTGGCGCTAAGAGACACCACATGTATCCCCTCAGCTTCCCCTCGTGCCCAGAGACCAAGCACGCCCGTTCACTTTCTACCTCTGCCATATCGTCGACCAGAACGCCAAACAGGGACATACCCAGAGAGGAAGAGGGGCCAGTAGCACGGTCGACGGACAGATCTCCCTGCGACCTACTATCTTGTCGAGCATCTCTCACTCCTGGTCACGTGCACAGCCTCTAACTCTGTATGTCGGACAAGTTGTCCATCCTCCAAACTGGTCCTCGACACTCTAACTAGCTCTTAAGTCATTACTCATCTGCCTCAAAGCAACGACTTGGGGGACTCTTGTTCTGAACTGGACCGAGACATGCCTCACAGTCGGACAGACTCAACTCAATTTTTTTTACAAAACAAGAGAATGTGTAAACTTGTTCCTAAAAGGCAAAAAGTTAGCATAGAGAAATATCTTTTTTCAAACAATGCCACCATAAGAACTAACAGACGCTTCTTTCACGTTAGGAAAACCATTATCTCAATCTAACCCCCTTTCTTTTCCATGCCATCTTAACCACTTTCCTAAACACAAGATGAAGAGGTGACAGGAGTTGGAGAGAGAAAGGAGAAATGAGCTGCAAAGAGAGAGAAAGACATGGCATTTGAAGTTGATTTATGAAAAAAAATCTAAAAAAATAAAGGATGAGGATATGAAGAATTAATTTATGAATATAAATATATGAAAAAAAAATTATTACAAAATTTAATTTGTTAGTTTAATATTTTTATATTTTATTTAAATAAAAAATAATTATGAATTATTTGAAAAATGTTCTTTTACCATTTATGTACGTAATGTTATTCACTTAAGTAGGTCACATTACTCAACAAAAATATGAAGATTAAAATTTAAAAAAAAAACTTATAAAAAAACTAAAATTTTGAATTTTAAAATATGATGATCGAAATTCAAAAAATTAGAAAATATGAGAACCAAAATTACACTTAAATTTATTTTTGATAAAAAAAAACTATTTTGTATATCTTAATTGTTTAGGCTATATTTAAATATTATAAAATTAACTGGTCGGAAAAGAGGAGAGAAATAAATCTGAATGGAGTAAAATTTTAAGAAGAATTCATTCCACTCCATTCCATTTTATTTTAAATGATTCAAATATCATTTACCCACTCCCCTCCATCCAATTCTATCTATCCAATCAAAATATTAAGAAAGTAAAAAAGAAAATTAAAGCATACTAATGAACGCAACACAAAAATACAGGAAAGAAAATGGAAAGCCACAGAATCTGAATCGAAAAAACAACAAACAGATTCAATTAATTAGACTTGAATAAAACATACATAATTGTACAATGACGATATTAATGATCCTCAACAGAGTCACAACCAAAGTTACTCGGTGGAAACCATCCTAACAAAGTTTATTTTAAGCATCTGAAGATAGGTAATGTTTTTTGTTGGCGATGATTTCATAGCGTAAAGAGCACTACAACACGGCGTAAAAAGCGATGACACGCAACTATTCTAAATCTTTAGCTAACGATACTTCCGATCTCTCGTTCCTCTAGAGTGTCTTCCTTCCTCCTTCCAATCCGTAGCCTGCGGCGGAGGAGAAGGCTCGTACCTTGACGGCCTTCGTTTGAAATGCCGTTCATCGTCGCTAGATTCATAATCATCCATGTCAGTGTTACTCTTCTTCCCTTCGTAATAGCTATTGGGAGGTACAGCGGATGCACTGGCAGTCGTGGGGGAAGATTCTGTCACTGAAGTAGCGCTGACTTTTCTCTTCTTCGCAGCGGCTTCTTCCTCTGAAGGGAAACTTATCCGTGTGAAGACGCTGGCCTTATGCTTGCGATCCGCGGCTGCGGCTGCTGCCGTCATAGTTTGAGAAGCATTTGATGAGGATTTTGCCACTGGCTCTGGTGACTTTCGAGATGTAGATTTGCCAACTGGTTCCGATGATTTCCTGGATGAGGATTTGGCAACTGGCTCTAATGATTTCCTAGATGAGGATTCTGTTCGGTGATGACGGCGGTGCTGGTGACGGTCGTGCTCGTAGTCGCGATCCCTATCATCACGTTCGCGTTCTGAGTGGTGATCTGATTTTCTTTTAATTGGACGTGGCGGTTCAATTTCACGGTGTGTTCGATCTGGCGAAAGCCGTTCTGAACGGTGTCGGTGTTGATGATAATCACTAACCGAAGACGGTGGGATAGGTTTCTGTACCAAAATACAAAAGCCCAACCGTTAGGCCCATAAGTGCATAATTTTTCATTAACACCCGAATAATAATAACAATAATAGAGAATACTATATATTTTTGCCAACAAAAAATAATAATATATCAATCGGTCAAAAATAAATACTATAATAAACACTAAAAATAGGACCCAACACTCATGTAATCACAGAACCAAGACACAATGATATATTGAAAGAAGGGAAATTTGAAACTTCAAGCAAGCAAAATGAATTTTACTTTAAAATGCAGGCAAAATATTTTATTTGTCCCAACCCGATATCTAAATGAATACGTATTTTATAAGTTAATTTTTTTTTACTAAATTTACATGTCAAATAGTCAAAAATATGCTTCGTGTATTGTTAATTTTGCTACTCTTTCGGTGTACAAAAATAATTGCTACTTTTTCAACTTTGATCCTGGTATTTTCTTTCTTAAGATTATTAATATTCATTTCGAAATTTAAATAATGATTATGTTCATTCATCCTAAAATGAATATGATTTATCTCAACTAGTTAGATTATTTAGTGGATCAATTAGATTGTTTCTTTCATGCAAGAATTCACCATAGTAAACGAAGTATGTTGGGCTAAAGAATAACTACTTTTCCTTTCTCTCTAACTTACCGAATGCAACACACCTCTTTATAATTAAATAACTAAAACCAGGTTTTACTTTTTATTTAATTGTAAAACTATTTTTTTTTCTTTTTTTTTTTGTCAAGACTAAAAACTATTGACATAATAAATGAACCATTAAGCATGTAGTAGGATTTATGATGTGAAAAATAATAATGCATAGATCTAAAAGGAAAATTAAGGGGGCATTAAGGTACCCCGGGCTTCTTGCAAATAGAGCAAGAAGTGTAAGAAAATAAAAGCCGCAGGAGTACTTTTTAGCGGCCATTTGAATGAATGAGAATCTCAGTCAAACCTCCCACTGGCACCATTCAGGCATTGTAACCATAAACCCTTGTATTAAAAGTAAACTTATGGAGACCTTAAATAAATAAAAAACACACATTACACACATGCTGCAAACTAGTAAATCTAAAATCAAACTATCCAGAGTTTAGGAATCTCGAACTTGATGAACCAAGTTATTCCACCCTCCTCAGAAAACGCTAATTATCATCAGCAAACCAAACGCGGAAGAAATCAACCATGATCTTGAAAGAATCACCAAAAGTAAATCAACCATGATCTTGAAAGAATCACCAAAAATTTGTCTCACCCAATTAGAGTCCAAAGACAATGCATCAAACAGCCTGCTTAAATGATTTGAACTTCCAATGGTTCAAAGCATAATCCTTCCGACACTTGAGCATTGAAGATTTAGTAACAGCACTGAACCATTATAGTATGCAGCAATGCATTATCATCATTTTCTGTTTACACACTTTAAACCGGTTGTTGCTGTTGACCATAAATTAATGGCAAGACAAATGGGCATAGATCCCTCAACCATTTCATGATCAACCAGAATATCGCTTGATAAAGCCAGAAGAAACAATTGCCGAAGACTTATATAATTAAAATAACGAAATAATTTGTAGGATTATCTAGAGCAATCAATGTTCTTCTGCATGCTTGAAGTTTATGGGCAAACTTTTGGTAAAAAACCCATAAAAAGTAAAATGCGCATAAAAATCTACACAGAGAGGGATGAAAATTAAGACAATAAAAAGTACATACAGTTTTTGATTTTATTGAAGAAACATCCCCAAAACTGCTCGCTTCCCTACCAAACTCTCGATCTTTGGAGAAGTCTCTGTTCCATGAAAGAGATAAACTCATTAAAGACAATGAGGGAAAGGACGAAAATAACCATTTATAAACTTGGTCATCTATCCACATGTTAACTCTGACAGTTATTAAACTAGGCAACAAAATTCACTAGGTAAAGCTAAGGAAGAAATTAGCTTATGTAGAGCAGTGTTTTGCAATTACTAAACCAAAATCTGTATCTAGAAGGGCGATAGGAAGATAATAAATTGTCAAGAATAATAAATTTCCAGATAAAATTCCAATATCCCACTGCCAGGAAACAAAATCCAGGTAAGGAGGATACCAAATCCAAGTGAATATGTTGCCATTTTGCAAAGGTACAAAATATTTAACCTAAGTTAAAACTCTAACAAACTTCTCAAACAAGCATATCAGAGCATGACAACCACCAAGTACTATTTGTACCTTTCCCCCCGCCTCTCATTTTCACGCTTCCTCCTCAAATTGGCATTCCGAGCTTCAAATTCCTCTCTACTCATAGCTGGAGGTGGACCATTCATCCCCATACTGAACTCGGCAAGATCCCTGAACACAGTCACAATTATTAAATTACTTATCACATTCTTGAGTAGACAAACAAGTTTACTATTGGTATTCACACTGCAACCCTCAAAGATGCTAAGAGGTAAGTGCTGATATTTAAATTTGACCAACATAAAATTGCATACCTATGAGGTGGAGGAGGAATAGGAGGCATCATGTAACCATGCATGCCAAATGGGTCATGAGCCATACCATTTGCAAATGGATCATGAGTCATACCATTTGCAAATGGGTCATGAGCCATACCATTTGCAAATGGGTCATGTGCCATACCATTTGGAAATGGCATGTCATAGGGGCCTAGCCCGTAACCCATCATATGCATTGGACCAGCAGCAGCATATGGTGCCATAAATCCATCCATACCAGGCTGGATACCATTCCAGTAAGGGTTATAACCAGGAGGTGGGCCCATTGGCATCATATAGTTCTCAGCCCCAAGATCATGTGGGGGTTTCCACTGAAAATCTGCATGATAAGCAAAATAATTTGCAATTACTGCCCGAATAAAAATATTAGCATTTCCCTGGTCCACTAAATGCAACATTAAACAAATCCAAATTCATAATTTTTTATACAGGTACTGAGATAAATGTCACAGACATGACAGTAGATTTACCATTTGTGGGCATCCGGACTTTCTTCTTTTTCTTTTTCTTTGCTGCAAAGTCAAAAAATCAAATGAGAATACCCTAACAGAAAATCAACAAACAAAATAAACTAATGCTATTCAAGAAAAAGCACTTCGCTGTCATCCATTTTCCACCAAATCATAATCAAGAAGCATGTGTGCATATATAACCATCACCACCACACAAAAATACGATGACATAAGCAGCAACCTACATTACCTGCCTCAGAAGAAACCAACTTTTGCTGCACTTCCTCCTCGACCACCTGGGCACTCCCTTGTGACACTGGTTCCTTCACACTCATTGATTCATGAGTAGCTTCAGATACATCATTGACTCTAGGGATCTTTACATGCTCTGATGTCTGCTGTGGAGCAGAAATGGCTTTTATTTCACCAGTTGTGTCCCGTATATTTGCTGTTCCATCATTAACAAGTGAAATCTTCAGTTCTCCCTTGGAGGCAGCAGATGACGTTGGAGAGGGATTCTTTGGCTGTGGACAGCGAGCAGATTCCATATCTGAAAAATCAAACTCTAATTAAAAAAATGCATATGCGATAATTGATGGCCAGTGACGGTCCAAGTAAGAGAAAATCATTTTAGTCTTAATAACCTTGAACTTGAAAAGTACTCCCAGCATTTTCAGTACTGCTATTGCCTGACTCCAATATGCGATTGATGGTATCCCTTAGTGTCTTATTCGGTAAAAGATCATCTGCAAGAATATTTGTTGCACCACATACGCAGATGGATTTGGAGATAATGTAGTCTCTAATACCTGAAAAGAATTTTCAGAATGATGTCACATAACTTCAGCGTAAGATTCCAATCTGTAGAATAGTTCGGGGCCAGAAAGAGCATAGCAGAATCTAAACAATATTTAGTATGAGATTCTCATTCTGAAAACCATAAATACTACAGAAGCATAAACACATACATTTGTCACAGAAACTTTTAAAACAACACTTGCTTGTCAACACAGCATCTTTCATAACATTGCTGCACAAGGGACAGTGGAGCTCAGGTGGTAGATCCCCAACAGAACGTGTAGATGGCATCCCTTCTATTTCTTTCTCAAAAGCAGCCCTGTTCGAAAGAAGAACATAAAACACAAATTCATGTCAACATATAACAAAATGGACGAGAAGAATTAAATTAAACTTACTCATTTGGCTTCAAAACAGCTACTGAACCATTTGGTAAAGCATAGGAACCTTGTGGATTTACCATCAGCATAGATCTAGGAATACCAGTAGGTTGCTTGACTCTCTTTATGTCATAATTTGGATCACCATTTGTTGGGCAGTGTTGAATGAAATGTCCTACACAAAATTGAGAAGAAAAAGTAAGCTAGCCGAACTGACATTGGTATCAGGCATTTCGTAAGCAAGTGGAGAATTATAAAATTTTAAAAATTATGACATACCAGGCATCTTGCATCTGTGACATACATAGCCTTGTGGAGGTGTTTTCCGCTCCAACCCTTGCAAACCCCGACAAGTAAATAACCATTAGCCAATAGTTCATCAACATATTAATATTTTTACTCACAGAAGCAAATCACTACAAAAATGTATAGAATGATGAATGAAAGAGACTCACCAAAACCGCGCCCACCGCCCATTCGTCCACCCATGCCCCTTCCAAAACCTCTACCAGGGCCAAAGTCTGAACTTTGACTGCATGAAAAAAAAGATAGAATCAACATAAAACATCAGAAATCCAAGAATGTGAGTGCTTTCACCAAAAGAAAGACAATTTAGGCATGTGGAATGAAATCTTCTGAAGGATAAGGACTCCTTAGGATTATACCAAATGGAATGAATCAGACTGCAATTAAATTAGTGCGCCATTGACTATAATGTTTTAGATAAGTAGGAATTGAATGGAACTTAATTGACGAGCTAACAAAATTAAAGTTTTCCTCCATACTATAAAATACCCGAACATAAGATGGTAAAATGTTGTCCGGTCCGTTTCCTTGACTCCTTTTATTTCACCCATCATTAGATATTCTAACAGAGCATAAGGTTGATAGGAGAAACATTGAACAACTATCCCAATACAGGTCTTACAGAAATGAATAATCTTTATTTCCTCTTGAAGAGATTAAGAGAGGGTACTCATTTTTGCAGGAAGGAATCAGTTAGTATTTATTTGGTTCTGTATATCTATTGATTATACTTATAATTCCATTTTATGTTGATTCCATGCATGGAATAACACACCAAGGAAAAGAGAATAATTTACTCACTGTTGCCAATCCAACGCTGGAGTATCAATCAGTGCCTTAAGCTTACTTTCTTCATCGACTTTGCTTGTTGGAGGAGCCTCTGGAATCAAGTTGACCGATTGAACTGGATGTTGATCGGGTATTGAATACAAATCATTACCAAATTCATCCCAATCTGAATCTTCAGGCTGTAAGTGGTACGAAGTGCTCAATTTGCTAAAGAATGCAGCTGAGTTGTTAATAAAAAAACAAAAGAAAAAGAAAAAGGAACTTACATATTTCATGGCAGACATATCATCAGCTGCTAAGCTACTGTTCGGAGGATCAGTCTCCACCACCTTATTTTCCACATTTTGTCTGCCAAAAGCAAAATACAGCTGCGACTCAAGAACACATAATTTATCTTACAAACACAAATGAATAATGTAATTTCCTGCTACGCCGCTATACATGGAGAACATGAACAGAAAATGACAATGAAGACTTCCCATTTTAAAAAAAACTTAAATGCACAAATCATGATCAATGGTGAAAACTCCAATAACAGTAATAATAAGATTAAAGGTTTGAGAAAACTTAAATGCACAAATCATGATCAATGGTGAAAACTCCAATAACAGTAATAATAAGATTAAAGGTTTGAGAAAACTTAAATGCACAAATCATGATCAATGGTGAAAACTCCAATAACAGTAATAATAAGATTAAAGGTTTGAGATAGTACTGTAGTTCAGTAACAATTGGTAAACGTGGCCGTCCTGGTACACGACGAATTAACACTGACGTATTTTTAGGAACCAGCGTTTCTTCATCAAGATATTCTGAAATTTCAAGAGACAGCAACTATAAAAATACTGTAAATGTGCTGTTCCATTAAGCTCTAATATATGAACTACCATATATAAATTCAGCAGAAAAGATTGGCGCTTGTAATTAGTACACAACTATACTGCAGCCTAGCTTCACCTTACTTTAGGACTCTAAATTGTTAGTTTTTTTTTTCTCTTCATTTTTTCTTTTACCCGAGGCTGTGGAGAGCGATACTCAAATCAAACCTGTCTCAATTAATGACAGATGGGATTGGTTTAAATTTGTACTTTGAAAGGAACGGGATAAATAAGGTAAGTTTATCCAGGAAGCCCTTGTTCAAGGTTAAAGAATTTGCAAAAGCTTAGATTTTAAATATTTTAAAATTAAGCACCAAATTGAAACCCTGAAACTCATTCACATTATCGCCCAAAATCAGTAGTTCAAAATAATAGTTCAATTAAAATCAGAACCAACCTTCATTGGTTTGGGCGTTGGTGACCAGAAGATCAAAATCTGTACCTCTCCCTAAATGCTTGGATTCAAATATTTTTTCTTTCAAAGTACCAACAGATATGAAAGGACCATCCATGGGAATTGAATCATAATCTCTTGCACTTTTAAATTTATAATACACCGCCATGGTATATTTCTCTTTCAATCTATAAAAGAAGATTAATTTACCAAAGCAATAACAAAACACAGAGAATCAAAGGGCCTCTGAAAAATTAAAAATAATAAGAATAGAAAGCCCTGTTATTGAAACTCAAAAACAAATCAAACAGTACAATAAACTCAAGCTTATTTTTTCTTCTCTTTTCTTTTTTTCCTACACTTGCAAATTATACTAAGGTAAGAATCGAATCGAACAAATCGAACCGCCACAACGATGAGATTCACTTCTAGAATTCTTCAGCAGTTTTCTGAAGCTTCGTCTTCGTTAAGAAACTCGGAATCTAGAAAAATCAAATTCCTTGTACAGAATAATTACGATCGAGCCAACCAATCTCCTTGTTGAGCGAGAGAAACAGACGAATCCGAATCCGGTGAAGCAAAGCCCTATGAAATCAGAAACTTCGAGAAGCCATAGCAACAGTAACTAGGGTTTGTTGTGGAATCGAACCGAAGAGGAATAATAACAACGAGATTCGTTTGTTCCTTCGGTAATCAAATCCAACACAATCAAACACGACGAGCCATTGAGCGGTTTTTCTGATTGCGATTCAGATCGAACCTCGTTGAACGGCGGCGACGGAGCCTTCAAATGAGAGTCGCGAGCATCTTCTCCTGGTTCTTCTAGCGTTGTAGCAGCGGAAAATCTGAATTGATTTCTGATAACGGATAACGGATAACGGATAAGCGGATCGAGAAACCGTACCGGAGAATTGAATAAATTTAGGTTGGAGTAAGTAGGGGCTAGGGTTGGGAAAGTTGGGGTGAGAGAAGCAGAGGAGTGGAAAAAGAGAGAAAATGGAGCTAAAAAGAGAGAATGGTGAATTATGGAACTCACGAGAAGAGGGGTGTTGTGTTGTGTTGTGTTGTGTTGTGTTGGAATCCACTAAAATAATTAAATGATTTTTCATTGATAGGTTGTTAGTCATTGGATATTAAACTAACGGTTCAGATTTACTTCAATGGGTGTAGGTAATCCTGATCCGTGGATTGCCTACATTCAATAAAGGATTTTCTAAATCTTGTAGAAATGTACATTTTATTTGGACTGTGTGGTTTTTAATTTTAAAGTAAAATGAACTTTATTTATTAAAACTGTTTTGTTAATTGATTAAATAGATAGAAATACAATAGATATATCTTTAAGAAAAGTATTACATTAATATTATAAATAATGAATTTGAGGTAGATTGAGTAACTTTAAAAGTTACTACTATAAATTTAATTATAAACAGAAAAAAAAAATTGAATTTAAACATAAGTCCAAGTTAATTATATTATGCACGATTAGTATTATTGTTCTAAAAAATATATTTATATTAGTGTTTTAATACCATTTGCAGGTGATTATAGTAATTAGGAGTATATTAATAAATATATTGATATTTATTTGTAATATAAAATTAAAATGCATTTAATTATCATCTTTACATATTGTGAAAATAATTTTTTTCTTATAGTAAGTAATTGATTCTAAAAATTATTTTTAAAAATAAATATTATAACCATTTAAATTTCAAACACATCACTTGTTTTAATACCATTTGTTTTTGATATATTTTATTTTCTAACACTAAAAGCATATGTTACCGGTAATCTAAAAATTTATGAATAATAATGTTGTATCTTCTAAATTTATAAATTTTATTTTTTAAAATATTAATTTTACGATTTAAAAAGGAATGTTGTTTGTTTATCTTTTATTTCTATATAAATTTTATTGTATTGAAATTGAAATTGATTCGTTGCCTTTAAAAAAACATCAAATATAAAATATTTTATAAAAACTGTTATCATAGGATTATTTAAATTAAATATTTCTAAAAACTACATTTTTTTTCCACCATAGCTTTTTGTTTTTGTCGTTTCCACGCCCTTGTCGTTGATAAAGCCCTCGAATGTATCCTATATCGTAGTTCTGAGATATCCTCGCTAAAGGCCAAGGAGCCACCATTGTGAAGAAGGGAGTGGACCTAATTGAAAAGTGACTTATGAAAGTCTCTATTGAAGGAGAAAATTGATTGCTACCAAAGGTCACGATGGATGAGAAGTTTTTTCAAGAACTGTGTAATCATTAAAAGGAGACCTAAGTCTGGAAAGAACTCGACTATCATTTGATGAAGCATAGGTTGAAAAATATATGAAAACTTATCGAAGGTTTTGAGATCATGAACGTTGATAATGGTTTCGTTATGGTCAAGTGAGAACTGCTTGCAGATAAGGAGAAAATTGTGTTTGAATGTCAATAGATGTTGTTTGACTATTATTTGGAAATAGTTAGGTGGACTCCAGACTTTGCATCTCCTCCTGTAAAGGTGGAGAAGACTCTTGCTTTGATTCAATTTCCATGGCTTAACTTATTGTAGTATGATGAAAGTTTTCTTCTTGCTTTGGAAATTGTTATGAGTACCCATGTTAAAGTAGATACCAATGTCCTGAATATATATATATATATATATATATATATATATATATATATATATATATATATATATATATATATATATATATATATATATATATATATATATATATATATATATATATATATATATATATATATATATATATATATATATATATATATAGAGAGAGAGAGAGAGAGAGAGAGAGAGAGAGAGAGAGAGAGAGAGAGAGAGAGAGAGAGAGAGAGAGAGAGAGAGAGAGAGAGAGAGAGAGAGAGAGAGAGAGAGGGAGGGGGAAGGTTTGCAAGAATTTGCGTGGAAATTGGTCTGGCCTTGTCTATTATCGAAAAGGCCAATGTTAGTGGCCACTGGTACAGCGAGCATTATGAATGTCTTCACATTATTTTCTTCAGTTGTGGTTGTTATGGACATCATATACATGGTTGCAACAAAACATGAGATAATTTGATGCAATCGTCCCTTCTTACAATGGCCCAACCAAGAGGTTTGCGAAAAAATGATGTTGTCCATGAGCAAAGACTAACGGAACTTCATCAAGAAGTGGGCGATGATAGCACCGAAATTATAGTAAAAGAATTTGGAGAAATAAATGCAGTTCGTGGTGATTGGTTGGTGGTGCAGAGGAAAAATGCAACAAAAAAGGCAGTTATGGTCAGGGAAAATATTTATCCAATAATGCGCCTAGAAATTTGGGGAGTTCTAAAATCAAGATGATTGATGTTTCCTTAAAAGTAATAAGTGCTGACAACAACTATTGGACCAAATTAACTTGATGCGGTTTCTAATAAATAGCGATTTGATAAGAGTAAACCCACCTCAGACGCATGTCAGCTAGCACTTAGAAAGGACTCGTGCGCCAAGGCCAAGTCTGCCATTTCAGAACTGCATCTTTCTATTAGTGGGCCTTTGCACAAAATAGGGACAACTTTTAATGTCTTCCCAACACAGAAGAGTGTGCCTAGAACTGCTAAATACACCTCAATCAATCCCATAATAAATTTGGGTTTGGATATCATCACATGATACACCATTCTTCATTTTAAACCAACAACAAATATGGAAAATGGAACTAACCAATGCATCATGGATGAGAGTGCTACTCAAGAAGAAAAAGTTGTTCGTGAAACTCCCATTGAATGGGAGACAACTACGTAAATTGTCTCGTGTCCAAGACTTGCTTTATCGCCTTTATCAACTTGACTAGTTATGTTATGTTTTAAAGAAGTAATTATGCCCTCCTATAATATTTTGAGAGCCTCTATTAATAAGGCTAAAAGACACATGATGAAGTTGATTAGAAAACACTCTCCAACATTTTTAATCGTTATGGAAGCACACATTGGTTTTCATATGACCAAATCCTTATGAAACATAAATGGACATTTGAGTGTTCACTACATGGATGAACATGGTAAATCTTTGGGCATTTGGTTATTAAAGCGAAATGGTAGTAACATTGTAACTATTATGCATTATGTCTTTATGGATACAATTGCTACCAAGTTATCATTGAGAACTTCCTCTTGGTATATAACTAAAATTTATGTTAGTCTCGTGTACACTTCTTGTATTGACTAGTGAATCCATCTCATTGATCAGAGGAACATTGTTAGTGGTCCTTGAATGTGTGTTGGAGACTTTCACGACATCATTCTTCTGAGTGAACAAAGAGGGTGTAATTTAATCATGTTATGGCAGTTTCTTTGTTGAATGTCGTTGATAAATGTAATTTAGTTGAAGTAGACATGATTGGTGGGAAATTCACTTGGAATAAGGCTTGTACTGATAATCGAATGGTTTATCGCAAGTTGGACATGACCCTATTGATGTTGTTTGGCACATGGCTTTCCCTTAAGCATATGTTGAGGTGTTATGTAAATTTCTTTGTGATCATAACCCATTCTTCTTAGGTGTGGCATTCTTCACCAAGACTATGGGACGCGTTCTTTTAGGTTTGAGGTAGCTTGGATCACTCACCTGGAATACTCTAATATAGTCCTTACTACTTAGGGAAAATCCCCATATGGCATTTGTCGCACCTCGAAAAATCACGGAGACATTTCGGAGAAACGACCCTCGCGCGAAAGGCGCGGAAATGCGGTTCGACAGAGTCGCCACTGAACTTTATTTTTCCCAAATAAACGGGAGAGGAAAATATCGAGAAAACCTCTTAAAAACGAAAGGATAGGAACAGGGTTGTCGCAACCATGTTCCAGGTTCGAGAGTCGGTTATGTGAGGGGAAGGTATTAGCACCCCTCACGTCTGTCGTACTCGACGGGAACCTCTTAAGGTAAATGTGTGGAGTGTTGTTTAGGTTTACTTATTTTCTTCTCGTTGTTAAAGGTAGAATTGGTAGGTTAAAAGGTTAAAGGCGCAAAGGAGAAATGGGGGGTTAGAGGATAGGATGCTCGCCAAGGATTGGGGCCCTTGTGTTCTACGTATGCTCATTCGGACGAGAATGAGAAACCAGAGCGTCGTAGTTCGACTACGGGAAAGGTTGGGAATGTATGGACAGATTAATGGAGGAAGATAGAAGTGTGCTCG